ACAGGTTGTATATTCTCTATCCTTATTCACATTACTATTCATACTTATGCTTTTCTGCCTTGCATACTCAGTACTTTATTCGTACTGACGTCCTTTTTATTTGTGGACGCTGCATGTCGTGCTGCAGGTCCTGATAGACAGGTAGACGCAGCTCCCCCACCACAGTAGGCTGCCCAGTTCAGCAGTTATTGGCAAGATCCCTTCTCCGGATTTGCCGTGGTCTTGATATGCATTTTTGTTATAGACATTATGGGTATGTCGGGGCCCTGCTCCGGCTATGTGGCAGCACTTATGTTCCTTTAGAGGCTCATAAACAGGTGTCCACTCATGTATAGTTTGGTATGCCTTATCGGCTGATTTTTGTTGTATAGTCTTTCATGGCAGCGTGGTAGCTCGTACCTTATATATAGTTTCCTGACTGTCTGGTTATTCCATGTAAAGTATGTTCATGCCATTATCTTTCATTGTTGGTTGTTCATGATCCATATCTACCATTTATATTGATCTCATCGGTCCTTAAGGATAATAAGGAAGGTTAGATAAAATGTACGTTGGGCTCGGTAAGTATGGCCCGGGTGCTAGTCATGACCCTCCAATTTGGGTCGTGACACAAAAATTTAGCCGCAACGAATTTCTTCAACCCGACATCTTCAATTTTGTATTTCTTTTCAAGCGCAGTCCACAATTCTTTTAACGTATCCACACCACTGTAGACGTTATACGTCCTCCAGTCCGCTAAGAATATAATTCTTGCACAGAAAATTAGAATGCTTCCACGACTCAATCACTAGAAAGCGTTCATTCTCTGGAGTTTCATCAGGAAGAACATGAACATCTTCCTTGATGAACTTCTGTGGACTTAAAGTAGTCAAGTAGAAGAAAATCTTCTGCTGCCACCGCTTGAAATCAATCCCGAAAATTTTTCTGGGTTTTTCCGCCAGTGCCAATGCCGGTGTTCGGCTTGTCGACGCATTGGAAGTCACTATCGGAACAACTTGGTTTCCGTTGTCATTAGTCATTTCTGTAAAAAGAATGACACAAACAATCATTAAAATCACGTAGATTTCAATCTCCAATGGAGTATAATACCACAAAGGTTTTAATCTCCAGAACAGTGAATATAACACAAATACAGAAAATATTAAATTCCTTAACTTTGTTAGTAAACTATATTTGTAAACTAATTCTGGAAAAGATAGAATAACATATAAACAGAAAATATAAATGAAACAAAAGTTAATCCAAGCCCACTGAATTCACAGTGTTTCCTTAAGGAATTTAGTTCCCTCTTAGTACCCAAGGTTATGGATTATTTCCTCCGAGGATAGAACGAATTACATACTGGCGTAGTGGTACTTCAAACTCCAGTGTTTCAGCGAACACAAAGTTCGGTAGCAAATCACACTTACTGTTGCTTTCTTTGAAGCTAAAATAATGCAGAATAAGGAGGAGAACTCAGAAAATCATATGGAAAATCTGAGAGAATGGACTTGTATTTATAGCCAATGTTGGGCTGAAAATTGAAGAGGTGCAACTCTTCAGAATGACTATTTATGCAAAACGGCCATAGCATAAATGCCATAACACAAATGGTTAATTTATGCAATAATAAACCGGAATTGAAGAGGGAGGTTAATTTTCAGTTACACAATTGAAAAACTAAAAACGGCTCTGTTGGGTTTTAATATTGATATTGATATTCTGTTATTAAAATGAATATTTAATAACATTTCTGTTAACATTTACTATTAACGAATAAATTTGGTCCAAAAAATTAATCAATCAATCGATCATTTGACCAAATCCGAATTCGAAGCCGAGCGAGCGAGCGAGCGACGACGGCGCGAGGCTTGCCTTCTTCTCAACTCTTTTTTTATTGCTAGAAGAAGAGCAATTGCTTATATACCAATTAAAAACCTCTTCCTCTTCCATTATGGAACAATGTCCCTTTGTCAAGGGGGGAAACTTAAAATTTCACTTAAAAATTTTATTTTCCTCCATTTCCCATTCACCATCTTTTAAGCCATATTAATAAAAGCCCAACAGTACCAGTTTTAAACCGTTCCAATTGGAAAAAATAATCGTTCCAACAGAGAAAGGGAAAACTATTGCGATAGACGTATCTATAGCCACGACGACGCAAACCGTTGCAAGAACTGTTCCTATAGACCTATTGGCACGCGGGCTGATGGAACGAGCTATAAACCGTTCCAATATCTCTATGGCAACGGTTTAATAGTATGTGGGAACAGTTATCGGGAGAGAAAGAAGGACTTGCATATGGTGTTCATCGACTTAGAAAAGGCGTAAGATAAAGTTCCAAGGGAGGTTTTTGTGGAGATGTTTGGAGGCTAGAGGTGTACATGTTACCTACGTTAGGTCGATTAAGCACATGTATGATGGAGTAAAGACCCGGCTGAGGACGGTGGGTAGGGACTCAGACCATTTTCTGGTTATGATGGGGTTGCATCAGGGGTCGGCACTTAGTCTTTTTTTTTTGTTTGCTTTGATGATGGACGTACTGACGCGTCATATCCAAGGGTAGGTGTCATGTTGCATGCTATTTGCAGATGAAATTGTATTGATTGACGAGATGCGAGACAGTGTCAACTCGCAATTAGAGGTATGGAAGCAGACCCTGGAATCTAAAGGTTTCAAGTTGAGCAGGACCAAGACATAATACTTGGAGTGTAAGTCCAGTGGCGAGACTCAAGGGGGAGGGGGGAGGGGAGGGGACGCTGGACTCGCAGGTCACCCCTAGGAGTAGGGTTGCTTAACGGGCGGAGTTGGCGATTTTTTACTCTTAACGGTTTGGCTTATTGGTTATCGGCTTTTAAATGTATTAATCCGCTAGCCACCCGATAAGATATAGGGCGGATTGGTACCGGTTTAGCTCTTATCGGGCGGTTTATCGACTTAATTCAATCAAAATAAAATAAAATTTTCTATAGTGGGAAAGTAAACGTTAAAAGTTACCAACCAAACACCGAAACACGTGTTTTGAGTTCTGGAAATGAAAAAACTCATAATAAAAACCAAACAGAGAAAGACGCAAATACTGTTTTGGTCTCTCGTGAATATCTCAAAGGCTCGTGTCCGAACGCATAGGTACAAATGAAGATAAAGACAAACCCATTAGTATTTTCTTTTACTTCAAATGGGGATTTTTGACCTTTTATAATTAACACTAGTAGTAAATAGACACCGGCCTTAGTCCATGTAAAAGATTTCCAATTGGCCGTTGTTAAAACAAATGTTCGTCATGCTTAGAATTCTAGGATGCCTTAAAACCCAGGCAAAGTTGATGAAGCAGTGGTGTAACTGGTGTTGTTATCTTGTTTCAGACAGCAAATTCTGTCTTTTGTCACAGTTAGATGACTCCTTTTATTTGGCTTTCTTTATTCTAATTCACTTTGATAGAGTACTGGAGGAAGAAGGATTTTTGATTATTTAACATATATATGGATAAAAATAAATTTTATACGTATATAATATATATATATATATATATATATATATATATATATATATATATATATATATATATATATATATATATATATATATATATATATATA